CCTCACCCCTCTCCCACCCCCTGGCCTTGGTCCCCGCCTCCCTCTGCCCGGCCCTCAGGTGGGGTCTGTACGCCCACACTGCGCCTTGGGGACGGCAGCTTGGCTGAACTGTCCCGTAGATGAGCCGAGATCCCACGCGTGGACCCCGAGGCCCTGAGTGAGGAGCTGTGCGAACAGGCGGGGGCCCCGCGGGAGCCGGGCAGAGCGCCTCGTAGGGCCTGACCCGTCTGGGGGTCCCTGTCCCCCAGCCCTCGCCAGGTGTGGGTGTTAGGAACATGGGTCAGGTGCGTGCACAGCTGCGTAACCGGGGTCTGGTGTGGGTGGCCCTTTGACCCTGGCCGGCATGCCTGGAGCTGACAGACCAACCAGTGCACAGGGTGTGATATTGACCCCTCTGTATGTAGTGCTGAGACATTGTAGCGCTGAGATATTGTGGCTAAGACATTGTAGGACTGAGACATTGTAGCGCTGAGACATTGTAGCTAAGACATTGTAGGACTGAGACATTGTAGCGCTGAGACATTGTAGCGCTGAGACATTGTAGCTAAGACATTGTAGGACTGAGCCATTGTAGGACTGAGACATTGTAGCACTGAGACATTGTAGCGCTGAGACATTGTAGCTAAGACATTGTAGGACTGAGACATTGTAGGACTGAGACATTGTAGCACTGAGGCACTGTAGCCTAAGACATTGTAGCGGTGAGATGTAGTGCTGAGACATAGCTGAGAGTTGCCTGGGGCTGTGTGGGTGTCACTGCTCCAGTGATCGTGGTCTCAGGGCACCCCCAGCTGGGCCCTGCTCCCGGCCCAGTCCCTCCCGCTGTCCCCACCTCCAGCTCCAGCAGGAGCCATGACCCGGCCTGGCAGAGGCACCCTCCCTCCCTGGCGTGCACGAGCAGTGACTTTAATCCAGGCCGCAGCATGACACGAATATGGGCAAACATGCCCGACATGGAGTGGCCCCGTCACTTTCCACCTGGCGACTGTGGACAAGGGGAGGCTGCGCATGGCTGCAGAGCCCAGTTGGGGGGTGGGGCATGGGGGGATACACAGACCCAGGTCTGACCTGGGGCTTTCCTGGAACCAAAGTCAGGGCCCAGCTCCCAAGCTGCAGGGCGCACTGAGGGGTGAGAACCACACGGGGCAAAGCAGGGCTGGCGTCAGCACTCGAGGGTTGCTCAGACTACCCACCCCTGAGACTAGCTTTAAAAATCAAGGGTTGGAGGCTGGAGAGAGAGCACAGCGGGTAGGGCGTTTGCCTTGCACGTGGCCGACCAGGGTTCGATTCCCAGCATCCCATATGGTGCCCCGAGCACCGCCAGGAGTAGTTCCTGAGTGCAAAGCCAGGAGTAATCCCGTGCATCGATGGGTGTGACCCAAAGAAAAGCAAAATAATAATAAGATGCACAGAAATGACGATAGGGCATGGATGAAACTAAGGTGAAGAGGAAGAGATGCATGTAGGGCTGGAGCAATAGCACAGCAGGGAGAGCGTTTGCCTTGCATGCAGCCGACCCGGGTTCAATTCCCAGCATCCCATATGATCCCCCGAGCACCGCCAGGAGTAATTCCTGAGTGCATGAGCCAGGAGGAACCCCTATGTATTGCTGGGTGTGACCCAAAAGAGCAAAAAAAAGAGTTGAGGGTCATGGGGTCAGAGTGATAGGACAGCGGGAAGGGTGTTTGCCTTGCACGTGGCTGACCCGGGTTCAATCCCAGCATCCCATAGGGTCCCCAAGCACTGCCAGGAGTAATTCCTGAGCACTGCTAGGTGTGGCCCAAAAAGAAAAAAAAAATCGGGGGTCAGGAGCAGAGAGAGGACAGAGGGAGGGCACTTGTCTTGCCCTTGGCCATTCCAGGTTTGGTCCCCAGCAGTCCACATGGTCCCCCCAACACCACCAGGAGTGACCCCTGAGCACAGAGTCAGGAGTCATCCCTGAACACCCTGGGCATACTCGGAGCTGAGCACCCAAAAATCTAAAAGAATGATGGGGCCAGGGCGACGGCCCCGAGAGCTGAGGGCAGGCTCTGTGGGCAGGACACGGGGTCCATCCGTAGCACCACACGCTGACCGGCTCCAGGCGTGGCCCCTGAGAGTGACAGGCTGAAGCTCTCCTCACTCAACTCCCCCAGAAACGTGCGGCCTCTGCCGTATCCGTCATCACCAGAAGGACCCGCAGCTGGTCAGGGGAGAGGGGCCGGTGATTCTTTGGCTGCTTGGTGCCCAGGAGTCACGATTCACACCCTCAGGGCTTCCACGACCAACAAGTCACAGTGAGAGTTGCCCATCCCTGCCACTGACCACTGTCATCTGCTTGCCCTTGGCCACTGCGCTGCGGGTGTCCGGTGGCTCTCGGGGACCCGGGGGCAGGGGAAGGGAGTATCAGCTGGTCTCAGCTTCCTCCCTGGAGCGCAGCTCCCCACGGAAACCGATCTGCCGGTCGATGGCGTGTCCCTGGGCCCAGGGCTGAAGGTCCAGCCTCCCTGAAGGTCGGGAGGGCTGGGGGGACTGGGCCGGTCTCCCGGCAGTGCAGAACTCCTCCTGGGTGCCTCTCCTCCTGTGTCCTAGAGACACACGCGGCCACCCAAGTCACACACACACAGAAGGTCTGAGCCGTCCCAGGCCTGCTGCAAAGATGCGGCTTCACCTCAGGTTTGAAGCAGGAAGTAAGTTGGCTAGGATCTGGGGTTTGTTCTTTTGGTGGGGGCATACCTGGGGAGGCCCAGGGCTCCTGACCCAGCGGTCACTCCTGGGGAGGCGCAGGGCGTCCCGGGGTGACGGGGTGGGCCTTGTAGCAGCCCCGCAGTGCCGACTCTCCAGGCCTGAGGCTTCACCAACCGCTTCTTCCCTTGTTTCAGCTGAGACAGCCGCCGGGAAGGTGCTTTCCTTGCTCAGGACTCAGCTTCCAGCACCACGTCTGGTCCCCAGAGCACAGAGCCAGGAGCAACCCTGAGCCCAGCCGAGTACCCCTGCACGCAACACACACACACACACACACACACACGCATGCATGCGCGCTAAAATCCTGGGCCTGGGGGCGGATGGAGGCACTTTCAAGCGTGTGTCGTCCCCCCAGTGAAGCCCAAGTCCGTCACTCGTGCCTTTCCCCGAGGTTCCTGTTCCCCTGGGGCCACCTGACACGCCCCAGACTGACACCCGCCTGTGCCCTTGGCCCAGAGTCGGGGCGTCCTGGTTCCGCAGTCCCGAGGCCTGTGTGTCCCTGTCCTCTGCTCGCCTGACATCCGATACGGGCGGCTCTCAGGGCCTGGGGTGGGGTGTGAGTCTCCCCGCGCCCCTCAACGGCCCGAGCAAACGTCCTGACATCTCTGAGTCAAATGCAACTGCAGAATGTGTTAGTGTCAAAAGCAGTTTTATTATATAGCGGTCACACAGGACGCCTTTCTGTCTACAAAGGAAAAGGCCCCCGCGACCACGCTCAGCCGGGAGGCGACTTTCTCTAGGTACAAGCGACTTCAAAGGGAAGTAAAGTGACTGATTCCCCAGCAGGGAAGCCCAGGGAGGGAGAACAGAGTGGGTTAGAAACCCAGGGAAGAGTCTCATGGCTCCTGACAAAGTGCTCTTCTGCCCTTCAGAATAAACAGCATTTTGGCCTTAGAAATAAATACCTCTGGAGGGAGTGACCTTGTTCCCCCAAACGCCTAACCCTCTCTCTGTGGACAGAGGAAAAGCTTCTCTGTTCGACTCCATAAAGTAAACATTCTGCTTGCTTTAAAAATTACTGGTAGATACGCCTGCAGTGAAAGTCTCATTCCCGTAAGAGGAAATTTTGGGAAAAAAAATCTTTTGCTTTCATTTTGCCTGTCACTGTCCTCCCGTTGTTCATCGATTTGCTCGAGCGGGCCCAGTAACGTCTCCATCGTGAGACTTGTTGTTACTGTGTTTGGCGTATCGAATACGCCACGGGGAGCTTGCCAGGCTTTGCCTAGGTTTCATGTGTATGTACATACATATATGTATATATATATAAATTTGGAACGCTTATGACAGTTTAAAATATGTACCTGCTTCAGCGGGCGTGGGGGGGAGCCCGACTTAAAGGCTGTTTCTTCTAGTTTATTCTTTACCAAACCTCAAGTGTACCAAGCCCGGAAGTGCTTCGTTCCAGCCACCGGGACCGTCCGCCAGAGCGCAGGTGAGTCCCCTACAAACTTGGAGCTGGAAGGATCTGGAAGGTGGGGGCCAGCCAGTGTTTGCGCTGAGGCTTAAACGGGGCCATGGGCCTTTCCCTTGTGAAAATGGGGAAGGCTTCTTGGGGGCAGGCCCTGTCTGGGGGTGCCGCACCCCACCCCCCTAAGCCTCATGGAGCCTTGAGGGGCCCGAGAGTTTCCCTCAGAGTTGGGGCGTGTCTGGTGAGTGCACGGAGCCCCCGAGTCCCACACGGGTCGGGCTCAAGGAAGCGAAGCTCGTGGGTTGAGACGGGACCCCGGGCTCGTTCGCGGGGACCCCGCAGGTCTTGTGATTGACCCGGGTCCACACCCACACGGCCGGCTCCCTCAGACCAGAGGAAAGAGCAGAGACGCCGTCCTGGGCATCGAGGTTAGCCCCTCACAGCCGGGTCTAGTCCAGGACCCAAACGGTGACGGGACCCACCGACCCAGCTGCGTGGGCCTGGCTGGGTTCTGCCCTGGAGGCCGCACCCGGGGAACCTGCGTTTGGGCCGAGCGATGGGCGTTTGGAGGAAGAGCTTTCCTTCCATCAAAAGCCAGGCAAGGAACCGCACCGGATGGGGACTCGGGGAAGACGGTGGCTCTGGGGACGGTCTGTGTCCCGTTCATGATGCCTTGGAAAAATTCCTGGGGGGACCCTCAAGGGACAAAGGTGCTGGTGACCCCAGGCCATTGCTGCTCCTGGAAAGTCCCTCTGCCTGGACGCAGGTGAGCGCTTTATCTCGAGGGCGGGGGGCGCGGGGCCGTGAGGCGTTAGCGTGAAGCCCCATCCCGGAGAGGCCCGTTAACAGATTAATCGCCATATATTAATACGTTTCCAGGCACAAATGATTTATAAACAGAGGAATTAGTTCCCGCTGGCACGGACAGGCTTGCGTGCAGTCTGTGCTGTAGAGCTCGAGGGTCTGCGAGGCGGTTCCGGGAGGCCCCTCCTGAGCCCTTTACTGGACCTTCCTGGCACGGACCCCGTTGGCAGAGCTGGGAAACGCCGGGGAAAACCCATTCGCTTCCTTTCCCGCCGGCGGCTCGGCCCTGTCTGTCTTCATCGGCTTTTTTCGGTATGTCTGTCGGGCGAGACACCAGGGGAAGAGAGGACTGGGTTCTGTGCCTGCCCTTCTCTCGGGCAGTGCAGCCCAGCGGGCCGATGCGTCTTGTTTATTTTTTGCTTTTCTTTTTGGTGGGGGAGGGCCACACTCGACGAAGCTCAGGGGTGACTCCTGGCTCTGCACTCAGGAATCACTCCTGGCAGTGCTCCGGGGCCCATATGGGATGTTGGGAATCGAATCTGGGTCAGCCGTGTGCAAGGCAAACTTATCAGCTGTGCTATTGCTCCAGCCCCGTCTTGTCTATTCTAGGCTGGGGCTCCGAGCACTGTGTGGAGCCGGACCCAGAGTCCATTACAAAGCAAGACTCTCAGCCCGATGCAATTGCCCCGGCCACTGAGAATTCTTTTTTTTCTTTTTGGGGTCACACCCGGCAATGCTCAGGGGTTCCTCCTGGCTCTGCACTCAGGAATTATTCCTGGTGCTACTCAGGGGACCACATGGGATGCTGGGAATCGAACCCGGGTTGGCCGCATGTAAGGCAAACACCCTCCCCGCTGTGCTATCGCTCCAGCCCCAGGCCACTGAGAATTCTCGTTTGTAATCTGCCCCTTCCTGTTTATTATGAAACCACACCCCTCTATGCTCACGTCGGTTCTGGGGACCCACACAGCATTCGCCTCTCCGGGGGCATCTGCCCACCCACCCCCCTGTGATCCGCGGCAGAACTGGACAGCGCGGGCGCCAGGAGCTAGCCCGCACACCCCTGCCTTCCTGGGGCCTTGCACGATGCCCACGGTGTGATCACTCTGCCCTGCCTCTCTGGGGCCCCCCGAATGCGGCGACGCCCCGTGGGTCCCCGGCCACTCACCTGAACGTAGAAGTTCAGGAAGAGGATGACGAGGGTGAGCATGTAGGAGGACTGGAAGATGAGGCACCCAAAAGGGAAGCCACAGGGCCTGACCACGGCGCTCAGCGTGTGGGTGATGGTCAGGAGGAACTGCACCTGCGGCGGATGCGAGTGAGGGGCCCGGCGCGTCTTGGGGAAGGGGGTGAGGGGGCAGCTGTGGGCCTTCTGGGTTTGGGTCGGGGGGGGCAGAGGGGGTGCCGGGGACAGAGGTCGCGGCCCGGCTTCATTCGGAGCCCGGGGGCGGCGGGCATACCAGCTGCGCCTGCGTGAGGTACCGCTTCCACCACAGGTACTGGTGCATGGACGGGAACACGGACAGGCCATAGTAGGAGTACATGAGCACGTGGATGAAGCTGTTGAGGGTGGGCCCGAAGAAGCCTGCGGAGACAGCGGCTGAGCGCGGCCACGCCGCAGAGCCTCCCCGGCCCCCCTGAGGGCCAGCTCAGCTCTGGCGGCGGGAACCGCCTCTGCGGGGAAGGGGAGGAAGCGGCTGGAGGTGGACGGGGGGGGGGGGGGGGGGGGGGGGGGGGGGAGCCCCCAGCAGAGGGCGGCTGGACTCACTCTGGCCGCAGGGGATCCAGTTGAGCACACACCACCAGATGTTGAACATGGAGGCGTGGTGGTACACGTGCAGGAACGTGACCTGGCTGCTCTTCTTCCGCAGGACGAAGAAGATGGTGTCCAGGAACTCCACCGACTTGGAGAAGTAGTACCACCACAGCACCCGGGCCACCTGGGGGGGGGGACAGGAGGGAGGGGGTCGCTGCCGGCTCCCCCGCCTCCAGCAGAGTCCCTGATACTCCTGCCGTGAGCCACCCACGGCCTTCGACAGCCCCGAGAAGCAATTCCAGCACTGTTCTTCCTAAAACGCTAGTTCCTGTATTTTTTTTTTTTTTTTTTTTGCTTTTTGTGTCACACCCAGCTTCGCTCAGGGCTGCCTCCTGGCTCTGCACTCAGGAATCACTCCTGGCAGTGCTGGGGATGGGGATGCCAGGGATCAAACCCAGGTCAGCCGCATGCAAGGCAAACGCCCTCCCCGCTGTGCTAACGCTCTGGCCCCCATTCCTCTATTTTCGCACCAATGCTGCCGTGTAATATTCGATGAGCACTAAGATACCAGTATCTCAATAAACACGGTGTAAAGTGCTAGCTAAGATGGATCTGAGTTGGTGTGGCCAGTCAAAATGCCAGGGCTTGAATCCAGCTCAGTGCAAGTACTTGGCCCCCAGTACTCTCTCTCCAGCCCCCAAATGCTGTGATTTAAAGCCCCTTGTGGGAGCGATAGCACAGCGGGGAGGGCATTTGCCTTGTACCCGGACGACCTGGGTTCAATTCCCAGCATCCCATTTGGTCCCCCGAGCACCGCCAGGAGTGATTCCTGAGTGCCTGAGCCAGGAGTAACCCTTGAGCATTGCCGGGTGTGACCCAAAAAGCAAAAAAGCAAAGAAATAATAATAAAAGCCCCTTGTAATGATTCTCTCTGGGAGCATCTGTTCATTTTATCTTGCTAGTGTTGAGGGGGAAAGGCAGGCTGGGCCCCCCTCAGCCACGCAGGGGTCCCGCCCGCGTCCCCGGGGACTCACCCGGATGTCGCCCTCGCCCGCGCTGTTCAGGTTCTGACACTGTAGGTTGTAGCCCGCGGCCCACGTCGAGAGAATGAGCTGCAGAGAGACGGGGGGTGGGGGCAGTTCAGCTGGGCAGGGCAAGGCTGGACGTCCCCCCCCACATACTGACCGGCATCGGCCGGGGACCGGGGCCGGACACCGTCGTGGCCGAGGGCTCAGGACATGCTGTCCTTGGGGCTGACGCTAGAGGCGCAGGTCACAGGCCTGCGATGCTCACGCCTGGCTTGGCGCTCAGCTCACTGCCTTCGTGAAGGTCCACTTTAAAATGTCCATGTAAAATGGCACCACTGAAAAACGTCCATGTACCGTCTATGGGCTGGAGCGATGGCACAGCGGGGAGGGTGTTTGCCTTCCACACAGCTGACCCGGGTTTGATTCCTCCATCCCTCTCGGAGAGCCCAACAAGTTACCGACAGTATCCCACCCACATGGCAGAGCCTGGCAAGCTCCCCATGACATACGCAATATGCCAAACAGTAAGAACAAGTTTCAAAATGGAGACGTTACTGGTGCCCACTCGAGCAAATCGATGAACAATGGGAGGACAGTGCTACCATGCTACCCTTCTATAGATGGCTGGTGGGGACACAAGAAACCTAGCCTGGGGGCTGGAGTGATAGCATAGCGGGTAGGGCATTTGCCTTGCACGCAGCCAACATGACCGACACAGGTTCGATTCCCAACACCCCATATGGTCCCCTGAGCACCGCCAGGAGCTATTCCTGAGTGCATGAGCCAGGAGTAACCCCTGAGCATCGCCGGGTGTGACCCAAAAAGCAAAAAAAAAAAAAAGAAACCTAGCCTGGATTTTCCTAAGACATCACGCCAGAAAATCCACTGTGACCAGATTAGAATTAGGCTGTAAAACAAAACATTTCCAAGCACCTATATTCCATGGGCAAAAGGTGGAACTTCTTACCCAAGAACAACTTAGGAACAAATATTCTGAAGCATTCTGAACAAGATTTTGTTAGAAACTCCCACTATCAAATGCCTTTTTTCCTAGAAGGACCCTTCGCAAATCATTAGACTCCCAGCTCCGGACTCAAGGTGAGGAAGTGCACAGGAAGGTCCCTCAGACAGGAAAATGAACCGGCAAGCGGGGAGGGCTGAGTCCACAGAAAGGGCAGCGACAAGAGCCAGGCGCGTGTGTGGGGTCCCAGGTGCAGGAAGGAAGCACCAAGTCCAAGGGCCCAAGTCCAAGCCTAGAGCCTGTCCTGGAAAACAAACCACTTACCCCAAATAAAACTGTTTTCAACAGAAATCTCTTTTTTTTGGGGGGGGGGCACTGGAGCAATAGCACAGCGGGGAGGGCGTTTGCCTTGCACGAGGCTGACCTGGGTTCAATTCCCAGCATCCTGTATGGTCCCCTGAGCACTGCCAGGAGTGATTCCTGAGTGTATGAGCCAGGAGTAACCCCTGTGCATCGCCGGGTATGACCCAAAAAGCACACACACAGAAAAAAAAAGAAAAAAAAAATTTTTGAAAGAGGGCCATTATATATTTATTTTGATAGCACGGGCTGGAGCGATTGCACAGCAGGTAGGGCCTTGCATGTGGCCGGCATGGCCGACCCGAGTTCGATTCCTCCGTGCCTCTCGGAGAACCCAGCAAGCTGCCGAGAGTATCTTGCCCGCACAGCAAAGCCTGGCAAGCTCCCCGTGACGTATTCGATCTGCCAAACATAGTAACAAGTCTCACAATGTTACTGGGCCTGCTTGAGCGAATTGGTGAACAACGGGAGGACAGTGACAGTGACAGCTTTTTAGATCACACCCAGCGATGCTCAGGAATTACTCCTGGCGGTACTCGGGGAACCCTATGGGATGCTTGGGAATCGAACCCGGGTCGGCCGCGTGCAAGGCAAACGCCCTCCCAGCTGTCCTACTGCTCAGGCCCTCAGAAATATTTTTAAATATGAGTTCTAGGGAATTGCGGCTATGAGAAACCGCTGTCAACAATATTATAAACCACAGAATCCCAATTAAAACTTTTGTAAAAACTATATTAATTTTAGGGGCTGGAGAGTTAATATAGCGAGTAGGGCGCTTCTCTGCAGCCAGCCTGGGTTTGCCCCCTGGGCACAACCAGGTGTGGCCCCCAAACCTATATATATATATTGTGCAATTAAGTTGTGCACATAATTATATAAAATATATTTAATATAATTATTTTCATATATTTCATAATATAAGAACTGAAAAATGCAGTATCTGAACATTTTAATTCTCAGATTCTCAAGCCATTTTCTCTATTGTATTTGTGCGATTATAATAAATTTCTTCCCCTGCGCTAAACACCAAGCCTGCTCGGATCAAGGCTGAGCATCCTCCACCCAGTTCCTCCATCTTCCAGGGGTCACACCCACCAACTGGCCCCCTGGCGCCGTGGAATCCCATCAGTGGCCAAGACCCAGAGACTATAAAACCCAGCTCCCGGAAGTGACATCTTATTATCTCATTCTCACTTTGGACAACCTGACAGGCTACCGAATGTAACCTGCCCACACGGCAGAGTCTGGCAAACTCCCCGTGGCGCACCAAATATGCCAAATACCAGTAACAATGAAGGGTCTCATTTTCCTAACCCTGAAAGAGCCTCGAATGTGGCACTTTTTAAAATCTCAGGGCAAGGACGAGAAGGAGACGTTACTGGTGCCTGCTTGAGGCAATCTATGAACAACAGGATGGCCAAGATCATGATCGAGCTAAACACACTCCCCCCAGCTCCGCCTACCCCCTTCCCTCCCACTTCTCTGCACCTCTGTGCGAGGCAACTGGCAGAGGCAGGTCTCGAGCTCCTTGAACCCGGTTCCCCTCACTCCCAGTGCTCAAGGCCTTCAGGAGCCAGGTATGGCTCCCCACCTCATCCTGTGCACGGGGACTTTGCACACGCCCCAGGTCTGCCGCGCCTACCCCGCTGGCTCTGCTCACTCCCAGCTCAAACATCACCTCCTCCGAGAAGCCCTCCCACGAGGTATGCTCCAGCCTCTGTGGGGCGCTCGGGGCTGACAAGGCAGAGCAACTCAGGGCCCCTCTGCTGAATGTTGACCCGCCCGCCTGAGCTGGGGTGACAAGTCAGCAGGTGACAACAGGCAGATGCCCAAAGGCCAACCTGGCCTGAGCAGCAGAGGAGGCTGACAGAGAACAGAGAGAGAGAGAGACAGAGAGAGAGAGACAGAGAGAAGGAGGGAGAGAGAGAGAGAGAGGGAGGGAGTAGGAGGGAGAGGAAGAGAGAGGAGGAGAGACTGAGAGAGAAACAGGGAGAGGGAGAAGGAGAAGAGAGAGAGAGACAGAGAGAGGGAGAGACAGAGAGAGAGGGAGGGAGAGAGAGACAGAGAAAGAGAGCAGGAGAGAGAGACAGAGACAGAGAGAGGGAGGGAGTGGGAGGGAGAAAAAGAGAGAGGAGAGGGAGAGAGGGAGAGATGGGGAAAGAGAGACAGAGAGATGGAGAGACAGAGAGACAGGGAGAGGGAGGGAGACACACAGGGAGACAGAGACAGACAGAGAGAAAGAGCAAGGGACAGGGACGGAGAGGAAGGAGGGAGGGAGAGAGGGGTGGGGGGGAGCGTGCCTGGCACCGTATGAGATGCCCCCACGACCCCCTCCCCCCAAGGCCGGCCGATTCCTGCCGGGTCAGCGCCGAGCCTGATTCCGCAGTGACCACAGGGCCCGTGACCTTGTAGCCCTCCGCAGCGTGGGGGGACGGGAGGGACCATCGTGAATGAGTCCGGGAAACCCTGGGGAGCCACTGGCCGTGCTAGGGTCAGCGCAGGCGTGGGCAGGATGGAGCGGAGGCAGCTTCACATCCGGTCACCGAGCTTGCGGGGTGGGGGGCTGCGGGGGCCACGAGGGTCGCGGGCACTGACGCGGCTCGGACGCTTGACTCCCACGCAGGGGCCGAGGGAGCCGCCACTCACCTCCACCAGCATGTACGCCGAGAGCAGCGTGACCCCGAGGTTGTAGACGGTGAGGGTCCCCCGGAGGGAGTACGCCGGCCGCGTCCTCATGTAGCGGCTGCCCAGCCAGATGGCCAGCAGGTAGAGCACGGTGAGGCTGAAGGTGGGCAGGTAGGAGTCCAGCAGGAACCAGCCTCGCACCCGGGCATCTGCAGGGCGGGAGGAGCGGGCGCCTGACTCCCGGCCCAGCGCGCCGGCCTGTGGGGGCCCAGTCAGCGGCCAGGCCACGAGGCCACGGGTGTTGGGGACAGGTGAGTGAGGGCCCAGTCAGCGGCCAGGCCACAGGGCCACGGTGTCGGGGAACACGTGAGGGGGCGGGGCTGCAGCCCAGACACGCCTGACAAGAGTCGGAGCCTGGAGGGTCGCCTTCACCTGAGCCACAGACACAGCAGGGGCCTGCAGCACCGACCCGGCAAACCCTGGGCCTGGGGTTCCTAAAGTCACAGATGGACGGGCAGGTCGCCTGTGGGGTGCGGTGACCCACCTGAAACAGACGGCCAAGGAGACAGTGGCGCGGGGGTCTACTCCAAGGGCTGAAGTGCCCGCCCCACCCCAGCCCCTGCCCAGCCCCTGGGAACCTGCCGGGTGTGAGCAACATGGAACACGCCATGTCCCGGCGGCTCTCAGCTGTGGGGTCGTGGGCGAGGGGCCTCGGGGGGAGGGGGCCGTGGGGTCCTGGGTTGGCCACCCCTTCCGGGAGGGGTTCCTCAGACCCAGAGCCTGGGGCCCGCCTTGGGGCTCCCACCCTCGGGGGTGTCTCTCACGGACACAGACTCCGGGGGGCACCTCCCAACCCGGCAGACGGGGCCTGTCTGGGAGGAGAGGGCCTGAGCGTCTGTCTCTGTCTGTCTGTCTGTCTGTCGGGGAGGGTCTGTCTGGAAGGACGGACAGCACCGGAAGACCGGGCACACACAGCAGGGGGGACCCCCACAGCTGCAGGACCAGCCCCAGAGACAGGGCCGGGCCGTCCTGCCACGGTGAGTGGGGGGTCCCCGAGCGTGGTCACAGGGCAGCCTGCTCAGGGACCCTGCAGCGTGACCCGTGACGGGCTCGTCCCAAGGGTGCTCCCGCCGGGAGCTCGCTCACCTCGAGGCCCGAACATGTACTCCAGGAAGGCGTTGAGGTCGTCGTCGAAGGCCTTCAGAGCCTCCTGTGCAGGGAAGGGCAGGGGTCAGGGTGCTGGGAACCGCGGGACAAGGCGGGTCCGAGGAACAATCTGCCTTTCATGACTCGGGCACAAGGCGGCCTGGAAAACCGCCCGGAAGCGCCTCATTCCTTCCCCGCCAGTGTTGGGGGCAACCGCGGGCCAGGCAGCTCCCACGACTGAGTCCCAGTGAGGGGTGTCAGCGAGGGGTGTGCGCAGACCCACGGGCCAGCCCCGAGGGTGAGAAGCCGCTGCCAGGGCGGCCCGAGGCTCCGCCTAAGGCTTTTTCTTTATTTTAAATTTTGATCAGGAAATGAAGCCCTGGGCTGTTGTCCCTACGCCTTTAGGCTGTTTTCCAAGCGTTGCCGTGATTAGTACTACCAGTACCTTAGTAGGCACCTGGTTCCACCAGATCAATCACTACCACTTAAACCCACTTGGGGGGATCGTGGTGGGGGGTGAGGGGGTGGCGGAAGAAGCTTCAGGGTTAAAGTGACCTGCTCGGGTCAGGAGAGTGCAGGAGTGCAGTAGCTTTGGTGCTTGCCTCACGTGCAAGGTTATCAAACCTTGGCATCGGACCCTCACACCCCAGGTGGTCCTCTGAGCCCCTCCAAGAGTGAACCCTGAGTGCAAAACCAGGAGTGAGCCCTGAGCACAGAGGCGGGAGTGAGCCCCGAGCTAGGTGTGATCTCTGAGCACCGAACCAGGAGTCAGTCCTGAGCACTGAGCTGGGAATAAGCCCTGAGCACTGAGTTGGGAGTCAGGCCTGAGCACAGAGCTGGGAGTGAGCCCTGAGCTAGGTGTGATCCCTGAGCACCGAACCAGGAGTCAGTCCTGAGCACTGAGCTGGGAATGAGCCCTGAGCACGGAGCCAGGAGTCAGCCCTGAGCGTGGAGCTGGAGTCAGCCCTGAGCACAGAGCCGGGAGTCAGCCCTAAGCACAGAGCCGGGAGTGAGCCCTGAGCACAGAGCCGGGAGTGAGCCCTGAGCACAGAGCCGGGAGTGAGCCCTGAGCACAGAGCCAGGAGTCAGCCCTAAACACAGAGCCGGGAGTGAGCCCTGAGCACAGAGTTAGCAGTGTCCAGGGAAAACCCAGGGGACTGCCTGGAAGTGGAAGTGACCACGGCAGAGCAGCCTGCCCGCTTGGGGCCTGGCAGTACAGAGCAGGCCGGTGTGGAAAAGCACAGCCTGGGTCCAGGGAAGGCCCACAGGGAGAGTCCAGGGTGGTCCACACAGGCCAGGACCAGAGAGAGTTCTAGACTAGAAAGCCTCCCCTCTTCCCCATGCTGTGGGGAGGGACCGGCCACCTCCTGGAGGAGGGACTGTGGCGACCCCACAGGGTGACTCGGTAACCAGCACCCCGGCATCTACTCAGAGCAGGTTCCTCCTGCCCCCGCCATGGACCCAGCACCACCCAGCGGGAAGCTGGTCCGCACTCCCGCAGGAGACGGTCACCACCGACACACGTCCCCGCGCTGTGGAAAGCCAGTGACTTGGTTTTGTTTTTCAGGCACACCCAGCAGTGCTCAGGGCTGACTCCTGGCTCTGTGCTCAGGGGCCCTGTGTGGTGCTGGGGGCTGAGCCCAAGTCAACCACGTGCAGGGCAAACGCCCTTCCCCTCCCCCCCCATCCCTTACTGTCTCTGGCTCCCGGAGTCAATGATTTTTTATTTATTTATTTATTTTTGCTTTTTGGGTCACACCCGGCGATGCACAGGAGTTACTCCTGGTTCATGCACTCAGGAATCACTCCTGGCAGTGCTCGGGGGACCATATGGGATGCTGGGAATCGAACCCGGGTCGGCCGCGTGCAAGGCAAACGCCCTACCCGCTGTGCTATTGCTCCAGCCCCACTGGAGTCAATGATTTTTAAAAGTGGTAAAAACTGAAACTCAAACATGAAAGCTTGTAACTATATTGCATACTGATTCAATAACAATTTAAAAAAAAAGTGGTGAAAACTCCGGCGAGGGAGGCTGCCGCAGTGGGACCCGCCAGCCCCCTCGCAGAGCCCGGGCGGCCCGGGGAATCAGCGGCCAAGGACATTCCACGCATTGCCAATTACTGGCCAAGCGTGAGGGAGAAACCCACTTTCTGCGCTACAAGACACGTGGGAAGGACTCATTGTCCAGGAAAAGAAAAAGCAAATCAACAGGCCGCGAGTTGTGGTGAGAAAGAGTAGCGGGAGGTCCCAGCCGAGACTGACCAGGCGGAGAGGCCGTCAGGAGCCCCAGGGACCAGAGCCCTCGCCCGGACCCCATGTCCAGTCAGTAGGCAGGGACACTCGGGGGGAAATAGCCGGCACCAGCTCAAGCCATCCAAATAAAGTCAGATAGAACGGAGGGCCAAGGGGCTGGAGAGAGCACAGCGGGGAGGGCGTTTGCCTGGCACCCGGCCACCCTGGGCTCAATCCCGGCACCTCAGACAGTCCCCTGAGCACCACTAGGAGTGACTCCCAAGTGCAGAGCCAGGAGTAACCCCTGAACACCACTAGATATGGTCCAAAAAGGATATGTAGCACTGTCCTCCCGTTGTTCTTCGATTTGCTCCCGCGGGCCCAGTAACGTCTCCATCGTGAGACTTGTTGTGACTGTGTTTGGCATCTCGAATACGTCACGGGGAGCTTGCCAGGCTTTGCCATGCGGGCGAGATACTCTCGGGAGCTTGCCGGGCTCTTCTCCGAGAGGGGCAGAGGAATTGAACCCGGGTCGACCAGGCCAGTTGCGCGCAACGCAAATGCCCTATGTCTGTGCTATTTCTCCACCATGTTCCAAAAAGGGAAAATATAATAAAACAAGAGCTGGCGCAATAGCACAGCGGGTAGAGCATTTGCCTTGCATGTGGCCAACCCGGGTTCGATTCCTCCATCCCTCTGGGAGAGCCCAGCAAACTACTGCGAGTATCCCGCCCCCACGGCAGAGCCTGGCAAGCTAGCACCCTGTGGCCTATTCGATATGCCAAACACAGTCACAAGAAGTCTCCAATGGAGATGTTACTGGTGCCCGCTCGAGCAAATCAAGGAAGAAAGGAAGGACGGTGGACAGATGGTGCATAATAAAATAAAACAGCCAAAGACCAGAAAGAAAACGTCCAGGAAAATCTAAGGATAGCAGCCCGTCTCCTAAATAACGAACGGTCTCGGGGTCCGGGACACGGGACGGGGGGAGGGCGCCTGCCTTGCAGTATGGCCAGCTGCAGCTCGAACCCCAGACTGCAGAGGGTCCCTCAAGCCAAGGATAAGCCCTGGCACCCCCAAAGCAAACAAAAGCCCTTGAATGGACTCAGACTCGCCAATAAAAAGACCGAGTGGCTAGATGGATTTCAGAAGGGTGGGTCTGGAGAGGGACCCAGCGAGTTCAGGGCTCGCCGTGCGTGCAACTGACCCGGGTTCGAGTCCTGGGAATGCACACACGGCTTGGCGCTTTCAGCTGTGAGCGAATGAGTCAGCCCTGTGCTCCTGGGGACGGGCCACTGAGGACCTTCCTTCCCCTCTGACGACTCTCCGGGCCCCGGCCTGCCTCGCACGCAGAGAGTGAGGACGGACAGGGCGGGCTTGGAGGGCGGCTGCAGCCGAGGCACCGTCTACACCAGCGCTACAGAGAGACAGCGGGTCCCCAACGGACAGACGGACAAGCCCCGGTTCCCGGCAAGGCTCCGGATGGTGCCAACCCTGCCAGGAATGAATGCCTGCCCCCCCACCACCGATGTCCACCTGTGCCGCCCTCCTGCCCACGGCAGCTCAGAGTGGGACAGCCAAGACGCGGCACGGTCCATGGCTAGAGAAGTCGTGCCCATTCCACACGGGGGACACGCGGGTCCCACGCAAGAGGCTGCTGCCTGCACGGAACCAGCATATTGGGGGAGGAAGACACTGATCTGGGACAGAGACATGGACAGTGACCACTGACTGACTCACAGCAGGGGGAGGAGATAGGATGGAGGGGGGACACGGGCATGGGACTCCAGCCATCTGCCTGCTGACACCATAAACCTTAACACGACTGTGCACTGCAGCATGGTCCTCCTGTTTGTCATCGATTTGCTCGAGCAGGCACCAGTAACGTCTCCATTGTGAGACTTGCTGTGACTGTGTTTGGCATATCGAATATATCACGGGTAGCTTGCCAGGCTTTGCCATGCGGGCGAGATACTCTCGGTAGCTTGCCGGGCTCTCCAAGAGGAATCGAACTCGGGTCGGCCGCGTGCAAGGCAAATGCCCTACCCGCTGTGCTATCGCTTGAAACACTACTATAATCATATTAATTAAACTCTAGTTTTAAAAAGTAAAAGTAGATGGGGCTGGAGCGATAGCACAGCGGGTAGGGCATTTGCCTTGCACACGGTCGACCCGGGTTCGATTCCCAGCATCCCATATGGTTGCCTGAGCACCGCCAGGAGTATCTCCTAAGTGCAGAGCCAGGAGGAACCCCTGTGCATCGCCGGGTGTGACCCAAAAAGAAAGCAAACAAACAAACAAAAACTTTAAAAATAAATAAAAAGTAAAAGCCCCCTCCAGGGGCTGCAGCCCACAGGCTAGGCGCCTCCCCCCTCCTCCTTCCCTGCCCCCACCCAGGCTGCGCAACCCAGGGGTCCTCGGACCGAGCCAATCAGAAGCGTAGACGCCCTTGAAGGCTGGGCCCGTGCCTGGCACATTCCCCCACCCCCACCCCGACAGCTGGTGACGGGGACCCAACACGCCTCGAGTGAGAGCTCCCGGGGGATGGACGTGGGGCGCCCCCTCCGGCCAGAGCCGCCACGGAGCCGGCGCATTCAGGACACCCTGGCGCGGGCCCAGCTTCCGAACGGGCCGGGAAGAATAAAGCCCTTTCACGGGGCACAATGGCGTGGAGAGATTCTGCTCGTATGTGCCCTGGTTATCAAGTGCGAACAGAGCCCGGCCGCCTGGGGCGAGGACGGAACAAAGGCGCTTTAATGCTCCTGGGGAAACGGCTCCCTCCAGCTCTAAGTAACAATCAGGGCTACATTGTTGCTCCCTAATCCTGAAGCG